AAAGGATAGCATCTTCACGGATGAATTGAATTATGAACAAAACTATGATGTTTATTTCCTCACTAACAGAAAAACATATGAACAAACAATACAGTTCTCTAGGAGAAACTTCATTTTACAAGCACGTGTATGTTCCCCATGTAGTCTCTTTCAAATTCATTCCTATATACAGCTACATTATCGTTCATTTTCTTTCTGACTCCTTTGTTTTTCCTCTCTCTCTCTGCCACCATTAAACTCTTATTTCCTTTCACCAACAATAAGTGTGAACTCCCAAAGGTAAAGCTAACTACAATGAACAATTTTGCCTTACAAAACATTCTGCCATTGAAGGATTTCTGGAGAGTACAAGGACTGTGAAACAAGTCCTACCAAATGCATCATGGTTAAATAAGATCAGCTGTCCTACCAGCTGCCTTAATTTCAGTGCTCCCAGTACACCATCAGGTACTGCATGATCCAGCTCTGCTCACAACATCCAGACAGCCCAAGCTGCACAGTACCCAATATTAGAGTTGCAGCCAGTCATATCTACAGCTTCCCAGTTTATTAATGAGCCAAAGCACATTAAAAAGCCAACAAATCACCATGCTAGGAGAAAGAAACCTACCTAACTGGATTGTATCTCCTCATCTCACTTCAGTCTTGACCTTCAGCTTTTGACATTTTTCACAGGTGGGGCAGACAGAAGTTAATTATTTCAAAGCTGCTTCCAATATTCAAGTATTTTTAATCATCTGCTCCCTCCATCAATCACAATCACTGCAAGTGCCTTGAAGCCCTTTTCAAATTGATAATGTTTTTCAAAGAACGACTTGGAAAGGTTTTTTAGAGTAGATGTGCAACAGTTAGCCAAACATAACACACTAGCTGTGATTTGCAAACGACAGTTACAGATCAGAATACAAACATCTGCTAGCAAACTCAATCTAAACTCCTATATTCTTATCTAATTCAGATAACTCATTTCTTTTTAAACAGAAACATCCATTTTAACCTTGAATAAAACTATGCTCTGATCTTTCAAAGGGAGATAGGGCTTCTACAGACATGTAAAGACTGATTAGAATAACAAAATATACTTAAGCACCCGTTTCCACCCTTGTGGGCACTACAATAAGACAATCAGCGGAAGCGAGTTACATATCTTAAGCTGCAGGCATCAAAATTAATTATTTTACAGCAATGCATGACTCAAAAGGGACCACTGTAATTAGCATAATGAGCATTACTGCACATCGTGAATTTTATGCTTTTTTTTTTCTTTAAGTTTATAAATCCCTTTTGGACATAATTGTTTTGTTATTGTTATTTGTAAGAAATAACAAACAAGGAATTTGAAATCTTATTAAAATGTATGCAATTAAACATGGACTGAAGTGTATATAATCCTCCCACAATTTCAGACTTTATGGACAATATCTATCATGCTAAGTCTTTAAGTATATTAATTGCATGGATTTCAAGTACCATTAACATTCATTCAATATTGTTATTCCAGAAAGCTTCCAGCTAGGATTAGGACCTTTTGGAAACAAAATTTAATTTGCAGAGAAGATAATCATAACACTTTAATCTATCTCAATGTATTAAAAATGAAAGGAAAAATCAGCTAATATTGTTTTTAAACACTGGAGACCTGGCCCACGGCTCACGGAAATTAAAACCAATCTCTCCATTTACAGCAGACTTTAGAGCAGCCCATAAATGAAATGGGGTGTAGTTCACTATGCACCATGCTCACTGCTGTGGTGAGGCGTGAGCTAATGCACCTTTTCATGCTCTCCTCACCTCAGCTGAGGCCCCTAACTAGGAGAGGGAGCAGATGCTGAGGTGGAAGCAGACAGCACATTAATTGCCTCTTTTAGGATTAGCATGAAAGTGTGTAATGTATAATATTTAACCCCCACCCTCGCAAAACACCCTCTGCTCCTGCAGCTTTTGATCAGCTACTAGCACACTGCACAACGATAGAAAAGAAGGATTTTGCCTTAAGCCAACACAACATTTATAATCATTTGACTTTGTATGAACAGCACAGTTTAATTTTGCTTCCATTTTTTGAACATGGTAGTTGTTTGCTTTCGCAAGTGCTACAAGGCAACATTAAGTTACTGGTACCAGATACCACTTTCTTAATTACATCTCAGAGTCAATTTATGAAACAATTCGTTAATATATGGAAACCTTGTTGATGAGAGGGATGTTTTTTTTAAAGGCAGTTCTGTGCACAGTCACTCTGAAACTTAGGGTAATCTCACAGAAATTTACATTATTTAACCTCACATTCCAGTACATTTTCCCCAATTGATTACTGCTCTCCTTCCCAATTTTCTTGGCATTTTGGTAGTCACAGTATATGCAGCTTCCTTCCATAGACTGTTTCACAGCATTACAAGTACCTCTATAAACCATCATTTTCTACTCAGAACTTACTAAGTTAGAAATGCACATTTTTTCCTACATTCAGATCTGATGCACAGCCTGATTAACATCAGTAAGTTCTCCAGAATTCCTAAATTCAGACAAAGGAAAGAGCAGCGAGGAGTTGTAACTGTCCACAGATTTAAGCATTAATTGAATCACCTTTTCAGAGAGGGGATGTACGTACTGGAAATGCTGCCTGAAAGAAGGAAGGAAAACTCCAGTGAGAATTTGACCTGACACTTACCATTGCTGAAACAACAGCTGAGAACAGAAATCACACCAACTAATCACAGTGGTAGCATCTCTTTCCACATTAGCTGACACTGTCTGCCCATGAGCTGTTGCCATATCCATACAAGTTGTTCATATACATTGCTGATCTGCTCCTCAGGACTCGAGCATTTCTATAATCCAAAGCTGAAGGAAACCTTTTCAGTAATATCAGTGTGTTTTGGACAAACTTTTGAGCACCACATAAGGACAGAATGGACAGCTGCTGCCTCAAGACAACCTAGGTGTAAAGTTCTCTTCCGTAAAATCATACCAGTATCAATCTGGAAGGCAAGGTTCAGACTGGTGCCATAAACACATAAGCTGAGCAATCAAGGGATGTAAAACAGACTTTAACAGGTCTATGTGCAGCACATCTAGAACACTGTAACCAAAGGTTTGTTGCTTTTTTTTTTTTTTAAGTAAAAAAAGAAAACAGCAAACAGAAGACCCTCAGAAGACACATTTCATTCCATTTATACATGAGAAGAAAGCAAACGAAGCACTGCTGATTACATGACACTTATCAAGGTGAGAGAACACAAGGAACATAAGCTTGACTGTAAATTTTAGTCAGCAAAACAAGCACATGTAGATTTGTCCAAAATAAAGCAGTGGAGAGTGCAGTGCATCTGGCTTATGGCAAATCTCACATCATAAGTGCCTGGGATAAATATCTGCTGACCAAATCCAGATTTGTTCAGGACTCTCCAAGCAAGAGCACATTTGTTCAGAAGCAAGCTTTATTGCATTAACTTGGATCTATTTTGAAATTTATTTGTAGCCTATATAAGGGATCCATGCACAAGAGCTAGCAGAATATTGCAATCCCTGCTCTCCTGCCTACCTGAGTAACAGCCATTAGCCACAAAGATAAAAGCAAGCTCTAAAAGGCTAAAATACAGGAGGTGAAAACTCCTGGACCTATTAAAATCGTTGGTAAATGTTAGGAAGGAACATGATTAGTCTGTTAAAAGAATGTACAGCCAAGCTTCCTCTGATAGGAAGGTTTGGACATTACGTAGCACCTTATATATTCCTCAATCACGTGGTTATCACTACACAGGTAAAACAAACTACTAAAATGGCTGACAGAAAATGCTTGGATTTAGCCAGTTTTTCTTGAGATATCTTTCAGAAAAAAAACAACTAGAATTTATGTTCTGAATCACTAGCTATACTTTAAGATTCCAGACACGTAAGGGTTATAGTGCAATAACTTCATTAAAATACAACCAAACCACAATAGCAATCACAGCACTTTTGATTAATGTCCTCATTTCTTAACTGGATCACCACTCCCACTTCTGCAAGTGCTCATGCACCTTTAAAATGTTTTTCTCATACAGATTGCACTTCAGGAAAGAGCTTCATTAGTTTTTGCAAGTTTGCCCCGAGTCTAAATGGCTTCACACCTGGCTGGGGGAGCCATTTTCACACACACAGAGCACAGTGAGTAGCACCAAACATTTGTCAGATACACATTTACCTTCCCTCCAACCTCCTTGATTTTTGTTGGGTTTTTTACTTCTTTATTCTCCCCCTCTTGAACTGGTACTTCATAAGCTCAACTTTTAGAAAGCCTGTTTTTTTTCAGTCTCTTGACATCCAAGTCATGTTTTCTTTGCTTCCATCAGCAAATTTCTTGCAGCTGTGGCTTCTCTCCACCCAGGTGGAGTTCAGCCCACTCAACCCTCCACGAGATGGTGACTTGATCTGAACAGGTCCTTTTATTTTTTGTACTTCATTTCTGTTGTCAGAATAGACACTCATCTTGTTTCTCTTTTTTCTTCCCTTTCCACCTATTAACTCTTAAAGCAAGGCAGATGGCTGCACCTTGGCTACCTTGCTGTAAACTATTCCTGTCACTTTTCTGTAGCCATATCAGCTGCATAAGAGTCGTAACCATCTGACGTTCTATCCTCTCTACTCCTTCTCATAAAAGAACATTAATCAATTCTGCTATTTTTTAAGCATTCAGACCACACTGCTCTGTCACTTTCAAAAGAAAGCAATTGTGCCCTGTGACCCCCAGCAGCTAGGGCTCCTCCCACTGTGCAGCACAGCTCATCACACTCCATGTAAATCAGTCCTTTTGTGACTACTTACCAAAATAAAATTCAAGCATCCAGCTCACCCAGGCAAAAGTTTCAGTAGTCAAATCCAAATACCAGATAAATCCTACCCATGACTGTAACATGATGGAAAGCACAACAACAACAGCAGAGCAGCAAGGTCTTTAGCTACAGCAAGGACTTGCTCAAATTCAACTACCACAGAAACAAAGGAAAGAAGCTTCTTACCTTTGAATGGCCTAAAGCATGCAGACCTTCAGACGAGATCCTTTTGCCTCCCCCTGCCAACCCTTAAATGAGGTCTGGGAAGGGGTGCATTCTGGCTCCTCCCCTTCCATCACTTAGGTACATTGCATGCACCTGAGCTCCCTGGGTTGGCCCTGCCTTCCCACCAGGTGCTCAATCAGTGCGTCAAGTGTGACTCAGCATTTCTGATACAAAGACTCTTATAGACGTTTAGCATTGCTTTGTCTAGTCAGTAGTGAGGGGAGAGAAGATTAACCTGCCTGCTCAAAGTCCGTGGTATTGACACATTCTTTGTCTCATCTTCCAAATCCTTTCTGTAACCTTTTATGCATTTAAAACATTTTTGCCCCCCAGTTGCCATCTCTGTGTCCTCTGGTTGTATTTAAGCAAAACTGCCTGACACCTCCGGATTTTTAAACAATTTTGCAGCTTGAAACAAAAATCTACTTCAAACAAAATCTGCCACGTGAATTACCTTTCTTATGTGACATCTGAGCTAAATCAGTTCTCTAGTCACAGCCCCACAGGATTAATTTGCAGCTCCATTGTGATGTTATCTCTTTTCATCTAAGCAGTTGGCCAGCAAAAAGGTGAGGCACCTTTAAAAACAACACTACAGGAACCTCCCACATTCTCTATAAAGCAGCATGTAAGGTGAACAAAAGAAAAAGATATACAGATCAACACAAACATATACACACACAAAAAAGAAGCCAGAACAGTGATCTGTCAGCAATTGCAGGCATCCCAGAGACCACACAGAACAGCATGAAACAAATATGCACTGGTTCAGTTTTTCTTTCCAGAGATTCCTGCCACAAGAAATAGGAACATGCCATATTTATGTTTGTGCAACTTCTGTATTCTGAATTTAAGGAAATGGCAATTACATGTGACAGAATTTAGATGTCCAAATGACTGATGATTCTCTAAGCAGATATTCTTGTTAGCAATGTTTTGATAGTTTGGGGTTTTTTTATCTTCATATTTTATTCCAGACCAATTATCACCACCTTTTTGTTTTTTAAAGACAAAATAATGTTTTAAATAAAATCCTGTTGCTATTTGTTTCTGCCAATTTTGTTCTACTAAATTCAGTTTTGCCTACAGCTGCATTTCAATTCTGACTTATGGCTTTCACTAGGCAAAAGCAGTTAAATCTCATGATACCACATTTACTTAACCTAAACAGAATTAAGAGTTTCCCTCAAAGCAAACTTGTTTCTTCTAGACTATGGACTATATTTCAGGTGATGGAGGAATGCAAAAAAAAAAAAAAAAAAAAAAAAAAAGCAAGTCACAGATGAGAAAACTGAGATGGAGTGTTGTTCCACTGCATTTGCAAGCACTTGCTGTTTGAACAAAAGTCTCCCCCCAAAAAAGGCTCAAAATGAATCTTAGAAAGACTGGGGATAGAATGTTGTAAGCATTGGAGTGATTTCAGCAAAACAAAGGAAAAAAAATGGCAGAGGAGAGAAAAAAATAATCATAATTTCCAGTTTGTGGAGCCTCCTACCCAGGGCAGCCTGTTCCATCTCCCTCTGTGACCAGCTGTCCTAGTCTCTGTATAGGTTCCTTTCAATTACATCTTACCACACCTAGCTAAACTCTCATTTTTACTCTGAGTTTCCCCAGTTCCAGAAATGCAGACATACATCACTACAAACAGGGAGAAACCTTCTGGATAGCACTTCTGTCCTTTCATTTTGCTCACGTTTTCCTTAAGCTCTATTTCTCAAAGGCAGCACATCCAGAAGGGAGGGCACGTTGCCACTCAGCTGAAACAACACAAACTGCTTTCTTTTCATTTTCCCTAATTTAATCCATACACCTGGGGGCAATTCAAAAGCACCTGACACTGGTATTTGGGTGTTCATTTTCAACCCGATCAGCCCTGAAAAGCTGTTTGGCATTTGTTACTCTTTTCTCTCAGCTATAATACAGAAGAAAACGATGAGGAAAAAGAACTTACATTAGAGTAATAGATCCCCATTCAACTTTAAGGCAATAGAGCTCCAAAGAATAACTGAAAAACACAAGAGACTATTTTACTGGCAGTCTGTGAAGACAGGCATTAGTGATGTTCTTTCTTCTCTTTCATTTCCTCCTTATTATACTTTTCCACAATACTTTTGCTTTAATAAGCTTTTCTACACAAAACAATGCACACAAGCAGAGGAGATCCCAAAACAATGCACAGAAGCAGACAAATCTTGCAAGACCTCCCTAAATGAAGAAAGGGTAGGGAAGTGGTGCAAGGGAAGAAAAGTCAGAACATCCTTAAATTCTGACCTCTCTGAAGTGCTAGTAATGAAAATGAGACCTGCTAACGAGGTGCCAGAAAGCCCTGCTGCCAGCTCACTTCTCCACTTGCAATCCCGTACAGTTTGCTACAGTTGTAACTTCTAAGAAAGCACCAGGTCCTTCCTAGGACCAGGCCTTTCCACCTGACTCCAAATCAGAGCTGGCTTTTCCTTCAGCACGCCTACAGAAATAAATGGTTGAGCTAGAAAACAAGTACAGTATCGAGAGACAGTATTGATATGTGTTGGCTCTAAACTTTGGAACTAAGTACTGTGCTGATTTCATGTTGCTCAGATACAAGGAAAATTATCAAGAATGTTGCTGATTCTGTGAGGTGATAAAGAATTATTATATCAAATAGCTTCACTTTCCTGTATGGATTTATTTTTTTTTTCTTAATCTAATTATACAAGAACAGAAATTGTTTTTGGTCAAGTTGCACTAACGTTGAGGTAAATTTCTTGAGGTTATAGATCTGTATTCAAAACTAAAAATCTATCTAAACACTGCAGAAAAATACTAGTTCTTGAAAAAAGCGTGCAGGTTCCTCACGCCCATCAATTGTTTACTGCAGTCTCAGCAATGACATGTACCTGCCGCTCCCACACAAAGCTTCAAAAGATAGTTCCAATTCACTGCAGTTATTTCTTGCTTTGAAAGGACTTGGGTTTAGAATTGCACATCACAGCAAGGAGTCAGTATCTTTTATGACAATTGTTCAGAGTATTTTGCATTCCTTCAGTGGGCATTTAGCAGCTCTTCCTTCAGACAAAAGTTATCCAAATCCTTACAGACTGGTCAGGAATACTCACTCCAGACTGAATAGGAATAGTGAACAAGTGAAATACAATCTCATTACCAGCCTCCTCTGAAAACTGATTTGAATGACTAAAAGTATTCATAAATACAGCCACGCTCCTCGCTTACCTGCAGGAAGTATACATATTTCATCCAATATGTTTCTAAGAGGACATGCGTGTGTCTTTGTGCTGGTATTTTGATTTTAGCAGTATTACAATATGTGAATATCATGTATTAGATGATTTCAACATCTAATGACTGTGTAACTCGGAATGAGCCTGACCCTTTACATACAGAGGAGAAAATTAAGAACACAAGTCACCTGGATCAGGTTCATCCTCCTCCTAACCCAGGATCCTGCTTTGAAAGTTAACTGCAGGAAAATATAAAACCATTCTTCGGATTAAAAAAAAAAAAAAAAAAAAAAAAAAAAATCATATCACATGCTCTTTTACATATTCTTAGGTAAATATACAAAGAATATAAGCATATACAGACATATTTCTGTTCCTTTGTATGTATGCTAAGCAAGGCTTTAAGAAACCATCATTTATACTCTGGAACTCATATTTTCTAAGTATCAAAGAATCCTAAATGCTGCTACTGACTGGTGTTAAAGGCTTAATAACATAAATCCATTCAATAAACACACGTACACATACAAAAAAGCCTTGTAGCCATACTACTTTCCTGTTAGTGGGCTGTTGTTCTCATTCTCGTTTTTACCTAGATCGCTTAATAAATCATTCCAGCCCACTGCAAATTAGCATCACAGCAAACAAGCTAAAACCATCTGAATTATGTACAAGCTAACATGTTCTCACCATTCATTAAGGTTTCCTTGGAACTAATTTTACTTTTTTGAAAAACAGAATAAACAACCTGGCTCCCAAACACAGTACAAGCAGAAAACATCTGAAAGCTATGGAACAGGAGTGTCAAAAGTGCACCTCGCCCTGGCTGGGCTGACTGAGAGCTCTAGGAGATAATGACTGAGTAATAGGGGGGAGAGTGTGCTGTGCTCAAAATTAAGTAAGGAAAGCAGCCTCCTAAATTAGGCCTTTAAAATATATGTAATCATATAAATAAATATGATGATTCTTGGGATCATTAAGAGACAACATCAGGAAAAAAAGTTACTAGGTCCTCTTGTATTTCATTAACCATGAAGAAAAACGGGACCAAGTGGAATAGTTACCTACATTAACTAACCTTAACCCCTCATTCTTTGCCCCAGCAGTGCTTCCCCACATTTTTAATGCAGTACTTCAATGTCTGGTGGTGGGGCAGAGATAAGCACAACAGAAGTATTTTCTCCCATCTATAGCCACACAGAATCTTGCAAACGAGAGGGGAGCTCCTGTTTGTTCACCCAGGTGCCCTTCCAACTCTGCACCAGAGGGACTTCACAATGTATGTCAAATGCCCAAATCTTTGGATATCTGTGCTGCATTTATACCTTCTGAATTCAGACCAAGCCCGAAGTTCTGGCTCCAATGGAAATACTCAAAACCGTTGGAGTGTTTGAAAACTACAAGCTGATCAAGACATTCAGTTTTTAGAAAAATGAATTTGTAAAACCAGTGTTGTTGAAGGGTTGTAACTTCCTTGCTGTTACAACCCTTCAACTGCACTGGTTTTGTAGAGGTGACTTTGTAGAGGCAATCTTGAGTGTCCCAGAAGGAGGTGATACAGCAAGGATACCTTCATGCTATTCAGGGGAGTCAGAAAACTGTCAAGGACCTTCACAAAAGCACGAAGATCTTATCAATACAAGGTAATCAGTCAGAGTTCATATTTTATACTAGTCACATGTGCTATGTAAACATAGTGAAGTCTCTTTACATACACTACTAAAAGGGAAATTCTCATTAATGATCATTAATGAACAATGGTAGAATCATTCCGATCAGGTAAGTTGCTTCAATAAAGAAA